GTTAAGGAGATAAGGAGCAAAGAGTGCATAAAATAGAAATCGAGTTTTTGAGAGAACGGAGCATCCGATTTGAATGATCTAAAAAACATTCAATTAGTAATGATTGAGAGAAGGGGTTATCAGTTTTCGCAAAGACAGGCCCAGCCATTTCGGAAATACAGATCTAAATGTACAAAAATTGCCAGTTTTTGAGAGAACTGAGCGTCCGATTCAATTGATTCAAAGAACTTTCTGCTTGTCTTAACAAAATAATTGATTTTGGAAAAAAAAAATTTTTGTTCCATTTTTTTTTTTTTTTAATTTTTTGTATATCGAAAATAATTCAGATTTTATTTTTAATTCTGACTATAGTTCTAATATACTTTAAACAAATAATTTAAACTCTGCAATTCAGTTTATATAATTCTTATAAATATTAGACAATGTTACAATATTTATAATAATCTATTTGAAAACATTCAATATTCCTCTATCATTTCGTTACGGTACGGGAAGTTCCAGCAATTTGCCTTAAGGCACGATGCCACCCACCCCACTAGTTAAACATAAATTTCAGATTACTCAATAGATTACAATAAACAATCCAACTTAACTATGAGACACAAAAAACATTTTCAGTTTGCAATGTGATATCAATAGAAACAATTAACGAAATAATAACTCTGCAAACTTATAAATTATTGTTCTGCTTATTGCTTAATGAACTTATTCATTTTTTTCTTCGTTTGAAGTTAACGTGGAATCGAAAAAGAAATTATTTAGTATTCAATCCCGTGAGAGCAAACCTACGAAAGTTTAAATTAATTATTGGCCGTTATTGGTGAAAATGGCGAGTTGATTTAATTGAAATAGAACTTGTTGAAGAAATATATACTATTTATAATAGAGAAAATAGAAAATGGGGAGTCAGTGCTTAGAAAATGGCTTGTTTATTCCGAAAAATTGAATTGTAACTTTCATTTTTGTTGCAAATATTCCACTTCTAATAAACTTTAAACTTTGAAGACATGCGTGGTTAAATTTATGGTGCAAATATGAAAAATGGAAGCAAATTGTACTTAAGAACAAAAATCTTTAAGCTTTTTTTATACATAATTTAATTATTAACTATGCATAAATAATACAGATACAAATATAATTTGTTCGTTTCAGTATAGCTAAGAGCATCTTTTACTAATCTTTGGACAATACTTTAAAAATACGATAAAAGTTTAACTTTAAAACAACAATCTGATACTCTGAATCGATGGAAAGTAAAGCTTAATACAATTCGGCCCTTACGATACAAATAAGGAGAAGTTTACGATGCAATTTTGGATATTGTAAATAATGAAAAAACAAATTCAATTAAAATTTAATTTAAAACATGAAATACGAGTGTTATGTTTAAAAATTAAAGGCTAGTTTTTTTTTTTGCTCTTTTGACTTTGATTTGTTCTATAATATAAATCGCATAATAAATAAGTTAAATGTTTCAAAACCCAAATATTAATATTACACATACGTTAGAAATAATTGAGAATTGAAAAATATTTGATTCTGATCAACCCGCGAATCGCCTCGATGTTTATATATACTAAATTTAAATTCAATGTATTTTATACGCTTTTAGATTATATGATTTTAATGAAAAACTGTTAAAACAGTTTAAATTATTAGGGGGGGGGGGTCGCTGGAACAAATCTTGCATGCGGGCGCTGAGGACCCCAGGACCGGCCCCGCATATACCTAATATGAATTGCATATCATTTTACTCTTCAATATTTATGCGCCACGTATAATAATTTAGAATGTTTTTGACTTACGTACATAATGTATTTGTGGATAAATCGTTTTATTTAATTGCCCTTCTGTCCATTCTGTATCTCGACGGCAAATCTAAAAAAATTAATATTATATCACAGATCAATTAAGCTTCGTTTGTAAGTTTTTCTCAATATTACATTATTCTGCAATCCTGCTCCCAATATCAATGCACCTTCTTTGTGTCTTATTCCATTTCCAGCAAATGACCAAAAGTATTTATTTTTCCATGATGATATGCCTAGTCGCTTTTTATATTTTTTAGACAGTATTCGTTCTAATTTGAATGCTGTATTTTTACCTTCCTGCACATAACTAAATTAGTCGATAGTTGCTCGCTTTTGGAATGTATTTAAGTAATACCATTTAATCATATTTACTAAGGTCAATCGGGTGTTCCACTCATCTACTGTTATATTCGTGAAATTTAGTCCTCCAATGTATGTACAAATTTCGTGATCTCCTCCTCTCGTGGTCTAATTAATTTAGTTAATTTTATGTTAAGAAAAGTTTAATTTTTTTTCTTATATATTTTATTTTTGTATGATTATTTCGTGTTAAATTAATTGAAATAACTTACAACGAAAACAAATTTTAATGTTGATTTGCACCAAACATATTCGAGGCTGATAACAACTAAACTATACACTAAAATTGTTCTCCACATAGCTCACTTTTATACTCTTAACAAAATTATAGAAAACAGCATATAAAATAATCGAAATACATATATAACTTTAGAGAAAATAAAAATCAAATGGAGTGGAATATATAAAGCAATTGGATTTCGAAATATTTGTTTAATCATAAGTGCGTCACAAAGTACACGACTAAATTCTAAATTAAACAAATTGGAAAAGCATTGCATAACAACATCAATATACGTAAAAAGCCTAGTGAAAATATTTTAACTCAATATGGGATCACTAACTATTTACAAAATGAATATTTTACTGAAAATAGTCAAAATATTATATGCAGTTGCAATGAAGTAAAAAACACATTAGAAGCCTTATCACAATTTACTAAATTCTTTCAAATATATAATATAAAAATATTAGAAATATTATTTAGAGTGTTTTTTTTAATCATTATGGTTTCATTAAAGAGGAGATAAAGCACTGGGCTTAGCACACTGCCCTGTGGTACCCCGTATTCTTATTACACAAGGTGTAAAAAATTTTAATAATAATAATTATTTTCATTGTATAATAATGTTTAAATGTATAATTTTCAATGTTAATTCATACAAATTATAAAAAGCAAAGTTAGATTAATACTTAGTTTATGAATGTTCAAATTATTGTGTAAGAGTTTATTTAAGAATGAAATATTCTAAATTCATATAGGATCGACCATAAAAAAAGTTATATTTATTTTGGCTTTGGAGTTGCACATTCTTGTTCTTGTTCGCCTTCCGAAAGACTAAATTTTTGTAATATTCGTCGAAAATCGTTGTAAGGACACATTATTTCACAACCTGGTATTTTCATGTCTTGATAACTGTTTCCATTATTTTCACCATTTTTATAAATCATCTGCAAAATATTCAATGCAACTTATTCTCAAAGTATACATACAATTCTGATTGTGTGAATTTTATCAAACTTTTGTAAATATAAAAAATTAAGAAAAATAGTCTATTACTTTAACTTTCCAATCTCCATCTTTGATTTTATGCAGCTCAATTATATGTACAGCTCCAGTTTCTGGATAAAAAATTCTAGGTACAATTAGTTGGTCACCAATTATAGTGTCTGTAGGTGCAAAAGCAGCAAGTTGAGCTCCTACTACGGTTTGGGATGTTGTGAATATAGATATTTTAGTTTTTCGACCACCTGGTGACGTTGGCTGGCCTTTTCCAGACATGAGTTGTTCCATATCATTTAAAATGTCGCTCAATATCGGTCCTATTTATATATAAAAAGTTTGATTTTTGTATCAAGTTTTAAACATCACTTTAATACGAAATTACCTCCAGCTAAGCGTCTTAATTTTTTAGTATGCGTTAAAGATTTGTAAAGATATTCTTCAGAAAATGATCGAAGACCCTTTTCAATGTTTGTGTTCCACCATGTTGGTTGCCTTTTTTGACTTATCTATGATCAATATAAATAATTACATATTTTGATTATATTCTACCATATTTTGCAATTTGAATATTAATACCATTCTCTGTATTGTCTCATAACTGATCCAAATTTGATACGGGATCGTTATATTTACTTTCATCATAATGCTTTTTAAGCTCTTGTATTGATTGGACATATTTTTCAAGTAGTGCTGTAAATTCCTTTATTAATTTAGGGCTAGAAAGTTCTTTAAAAAATTCGGGACATTTGTTCGGATCAAAAAACCTGTAATACTATAAAAGTGGTCTACATAAGGATCAATATTTAAGTAAACGTATAAATGTATATGTTATGAATTAAGTTATATTCCGGTAAAAATAATTCTATATGACTTCACAAATAATCAGTATACATCGGTGTCAATTTGAATGAATAGTATGAGTTGGTAGTTTCACCAAAATGAAATAAATGACAGTTTTTAATAAAATCTCGAGAAAGAATAGAATTGTATTTAAAAAAATGTTGGAATTAAAGTCGAAATGACTAAATTTCTAAAACAATAATTTTGCCTTAGTTGCAATGAATAATTAGAAAGTACTCTAATATAACGATGAATATTAGTTCAAACAAATAATAAATTGTTCTATTATACGCCAGTTTAAAAAAATGTAAAACAATGTGCAGATCATTCTACTATACTTATAACTTAACGTAAAACAATGTATTAATATTTTTTTGTTCATTTACATACGTAATCTATTTTTGGAAATTTAGTTTCATCTAATTCTGCATCACTCCACACACGATTTTTAAGATGCGTCTAAAAAATATAAACATATTTATATTCCCATGGGATTGTGAAAAATAATCATTTTTCTAATGATTTACATTATTTTCCAATCCTGCTCCAATTAATAGGGCCTCTTCCTGGTGTCTTTTAGCGGTCCCACCGAATGACCAATAGTTTTCTTTAATCCATGACGATATTCCTAAACAATTTTTATATTTTTTGGATATTTCTTGACCTAATTCAAATGCAGCGTCTTTACCACTCTGTATTTAAAAATGCAATCTATATAAAAAATAGTTGTAGTAATTTTTTGATATATTATATTAATATTTACTGAAGTCAATCGACTGTCCATTTCATTGACATTTGTATGAGTGATATTTGGTCCTCCTATGTATGTACAGAGTTCATGATCACCTCCTCTAGTGGTCTGTATTAAAGATATTATTTCGAATATATTTAATATTATCTCATGTAATATGGATCTATCTTTTCAATACTTTAATTATTGAGATCTTTGCATTCTAAGCCATCTCTATATTCTGCTATTATCACAATATAGAGTAAGTCACTTCAGTATCTTCAGCACATATTCTAAGAAATTTCGAAATAAATTGAACAATTTTAACTAGGACTCACAAAACTTGAATTTATGTGTATTTTTGGTCAATATTTTTGTGAATAAATTTGAAATATACTCCTTTAGTCAATATTTCAATGTATTCCCTACGTTAGTAGTTTGTTAACTATCCATACTTTACTTCTTCCATGTTAAGTATTGATTAAATAACGAGTAAATTAACACTTTTGTAAATTCCGAGATTTATATGAATTTCCGAACTGGGCATCCGAGTCGAAAGGGTAATACATATCAAAATATCAGAAATTTTAGATTGAATTATTCAATTTTAAAATAGTAGTTAAAACCGAAGTTAGCATAAAGCATACAGTAATATTATAAAGAAAAATTTAATAAATTATCCTGGTTTCAATATCGTGGTGAAATCATTATCGTGGATTTGATATATTTTATCAAATTTAATTTTATTCTAAGTTAAGCAACGAGATATTAAATGCAAATGATAATCAATTACCGTAATTATTTTGTACTCACAATAAATACAAATCTTAATGTTGAACTACTTGTAACACTATGAACAGCAACTATGACGCAAAGAATTAAATTTATCCAACACATTTTATTATCATATATTTATTTAATCATGATAATTAAATAGTGATATAATCTTTTTTAAATTTACTTATAATAAATATTAAATTTGATAATATCCATGAAAAATAATATTTTATTCATTTTTAATAATTGAAAATTAGGAAACAAAATATATTTTGTAAATTTTTAACTTCCCGAAGGAGAAGTTTGTTTTCATCAAAAAATCCGATTCGCTAATTTTATGTTTTCTCGACGTTTCAAGCCATTCTGAATCGAATGAGACCAAATTTGGAAAAAGTATGTGTGTGTGTGTGTGCATGTGTGTGTATGTGAACAGATTTTTTGCCGTAAATCGACGTTTTCTCAAAAATGACTGGACCGATTTTAAAAGCCATTCGATGTATCTCGATGAGGACTATCGTCTCTGAGTTTTGTGTGGCGATCGGCCGGGCCGTTTTGTTGTAAATTTCAGAAAAGTGAAAAATTTTTCGCCCACGTTTTAGCCCGCAATTCTAAATCGATTCTGAAAATTCAAAAACTATTCGATAGATATTGGTTGGGAATCGTGCTGATTAGTTTTGGTAAAGATCGGCCGAGCCGTTTTCTTGTAATAACGTTTAAAAAAAAAAAATTCGACGATTTTTATGATTTTTTTTGACGGTAGATACCATAGTTTTCTAGGTCATACTAAAATATTACGGCCCTACGACAACTCGTTTAGCTTTAAAATTCGTCAAAGTTTGCAAAAATTGGTATAGTTTTTTTGACATTTGTCAAAATTAGACTTTTGATCGACGTTTTCTCAAAAGCGCCTGAACCGATTTCAGAAATTTAAAAGCCATTTGATGTATTTCGGTGAGGACTATCGTTTGTCAGTTTTGTGCGACGATCTGCCAAGCCGTTTCTTTGCAATTTAAAAAAAAGTGTTAAACTTTTCGTCCATATTTAAGCTCATCCTACCGAACCGATTTTAAAAAATCAAGAACTGTTCGAAAGATATTAGTTGGGAATGGTACTGATTAATTTTAGGTGAAAATCTATCCTGAAGAAAAGAAATTAAACATATGGTCATTTCATAAAAAATCTATAAATTTACATGTACATATTGAATTTTTGATAAGGAATTATTTGTAGCATCATGAATAGTTGAAATTTATAACCGATATTAAATGCAATGCGTTTTAGAATCTTTTAGAAGGATTTACACATTTTGTTTCAACTCTTATAACAAATAACGCATAATTTTTTGACGAATATACTAGACTTCGACGTCTTCTATATTACATTTTAATATATATCTGTGCATATAAAAATTTAAATAAAAACATAATTAGTATCTTAATTTTCATATAGTATTATACATATTTTGAATCCATTATGCATTATGCGTCATAATAATAATAGTTTTGACAAAGGAAAGCGATAAAATTATTTAAAATACAAAACTAGTTTTGAATTCAGTAATCCTTTTGCTTTCAATATAAGATGAAAATATGAATTCGGATGAAAAAATATTTATAAGCAAGATTGATGCATTTCAATATATGTTTAGTCATTTCTCTAATATAATATTTATTTTATGACTTCGATATAATCCTTAAAAGATGTCGTAGAGCACGCTGTCAATTATAAGATTACATAATTCTAAGTCACTGCTTTAT